AACAAGTTAACCACAATATTTTAGCTCCATAATAATAAAGGTATAAAGAAATTAATCAAAATGACTCAAAGTGGGAATGAAAGGAAACTAATTTTAACTAATAAGACGTAAAACGAGTGCATTATATGTTGAATTCTCAACACATATCACACCCCCAAACTTTAACCGTTGCTTGTCCCCAAGCAACCAAAAGACAAACAAAAAGACTCAATTTAAACAAAAATGCATGATCAAGGCATTAAGTGCCTACTCAAAGAGAGTTATACTAAACATGAAGTTCATAGCCTTTCATAAATCCAAGATGAGTCATTCAAAACCAAGTTTTTGTGTGAACCATAGGCTAGCATTCCCTTTTCTTTGTTAAGCTCAAACACAATCACAAATTTAGGATCAATAGGGCTTATAGGGTTTACTTTCTTTGGCGTTTCTTTTCTCTCATAGCCTTTTTCCTTTTATACTCCACATATAAAATTTTCAAATTTTTGGGCACTTAGGCCTCTTTTGATTGGAGTGTGCACATAGCCCCTATGGGACTTTTGTTGTGAGAAGGAGTCAATTTAGAGCTTTGCTCTTTTGTATTGACTTTTTGTCCTTATATAAACTCCTCCCCGAAACTTAAATTCGACAATGTCCTCATTGGAGATTTGTGGGGTAAACGGTGTTTGAAAGGTGCAAGTGGCTTATAATGAACATAGAAAAGAAGGCCTATTTCATTTCTAATGGTGAGTGTGTGATCAAAGTGTTTCCCAAAAAGGGTTTGCTAGTTCTAGCAAGAACAAAATTTCTTGATTGAATGACAAGTAATCAATAAAATTATTAGGGCTATGATCTTATGTGTAACAGTCCTCAAATCAGGTGATCATGCATAAAAATAAAACTAAATGCTATAAAAACTGTTCCCGACTCAAAAGAATAAAATATGGAAGCTAAAGTAAAATGGTTAGAACCTGTCCTAATCCGTAGGAGTAGGCTGTGAAATCCGGACTGCCATCTCCTTCTTCAACTTCTCATTCTCTTCAAACAGACTCTTATTATCCACATTGATGGCCTTTAGAATGTTTTCACGAAAGTTGATGTTCTCTCCTGTAATGAGACTAAACAAAAGCATCAATCTTTCTACAAAAATGGAGCTGTTATGATTAGTCGATGATAAATAATGTCTAATAAAGCTTATCCAAACATTCTTATCAGAGGACACATTTGCAGCCTTAAAGGTTTTCAACATGAAATGAGTGTATGGCTTCCAATCAGTCTCAGGCATTCCAAGGAAAGTCATGATCTCAATCAAATATGCCTCAGAGGCCGTGTGCAAGAGTGCATCATTCTCAGAATCTATGTGAGGTGAGAGTTGTTTCAACTCTAAGTCAAGTGGTGATACAATGGATGAGGTGAAGTTTTTCTGGTCACTATTTTCCAGCAGCTCAAATGCTGCAGCATCCACTAGGACAATATCATTTCCTATTGCCTCTATTTCCTCAACATCTTCTTCTATTTCCTCATCACACTCTTCCTCCAACTTAAGGTTTTCCTGAATTTCTTCTTCAAGGCACATTTCCTCTATTTCAGTTATCTTTGAACACTCCTTCAAGTAATCAGGGTACTTTAGAGAGTTAAAGACATTAAATGTGACTTTTTGGTCCTGTAGTCTCATGGTCAACTCTCCTTTCTGGACATCAATCAGGGTTCTTCCGGTGGCTAGAAATGGTCTCCCTAAAATAATAGGAATGTCCTTATCTGCCTCAAAGTCTAGAATGATAAAGTCTGCCGAAAGTATGAACTTATCAACTTGGACCAACACATCCTCAATCTTTCCCTTAGGGTATGCTATGGATTTATTTTCCAATTGAAGTGTAACA